GTGACATTATTATCATCAACTCCATTTTACAGATGAAGAAATGCAGGCTCAGAATGGCTAATGTGCAAGTATGTATTATACACTGGGGCTCTTGTTAAAATGCAGTTTTAGTGGATCTGGGGTGGGGCCTGAGTGTCTCAGGTTCTGAAATGTTTCCAGGTGATGCTAATGCTGCTGTTCCATGGGCCAGATTGGAGTGGGGTGGGATTAACTAAAGTGCCTTCCGTTAGATGCTGGTAAGAGGTGAGGCTGAGATTTGAACTCAAGTACTCAAACCCTGAATCTTTTCCTTTTCCCATCCTACGATGCAGCTTCTCACCCTGGACATGCCTCTGTTATGAACGAGTGATAAGATCTCCTGGCTGTTTAATGGGCAGTGGCTTTAATGCTTTCGGTTCCCTGTTTGCCTGGTCTAACAAACAATTGTTAGGTTGGCCAAACCATCAGTCTACCATAATGGCTGTAATTTATAGCGTCAGCTGGTCCCAGGACTATTCTAGGAGCTTTACATACATTTTCTCTACTCTTCTTACCTATGTGAGGTGGGTTCTAGTCTGAGTCCCATTTTGCAGATAAGGAACTCGAGTAACTTGGCAGGTCCCACCCATCACCTAGTAGCGACAAAGCCATGGTTAGCCCCAAGTTCTCCTGGCCCCAAAACATCTGATCTGTGGAGTGCACCACACTTCCTCTTAAACACTGCAGATGACTATTAGACCATCACTAATTATTATCATTGCCATCAGCATCCTTTCCTATCAGTTAATGTCAGCAAGGTGACACTGAGTTTTCACCAGATAAGCTCATTATTAACAGTGTTCTGGAGTTAATCCTTTTATGGTGGTAAAATATGTGTAACATGAAACTTACCAGTTTTAGGCACACAGTTCAGTGGCATTAAGTATACTCATATTGTTGTATAAGCATTACCATCATCCATCTCTAAAATGTTTTCACCTTTCCCAGCTGAAACTCTGTCCCCACTAAACAGTAACTCCCCTTTCCCCCTCCTCCCAGCCACTGGCAATCTCCATTCTATTTTCCATCTCTATGAATTCGACTACTCTAGGGACCTCATGTACATGGAATCATATAATATGTGTCCTTTTGTGTCTGGCTTATTTCACTTAGCATAACGTCTTCAGGGTTCATCTGTGTTGTAGTGAGGTTAATCCTTTTGAAATATGAATGAATAATCCTTCCTCATTTATCTTTCTAACCCCAATTTTCATGCAGCAGGGAACACCTCCGGAAAGGCTTGGTAACAATAAAAAACTCCAAATATTAAGGACCCAAGCCTTGAGTTCCACGGCTCCTTTTGAGAATCGAGGCTGAACTGAAGCACAGGGCAGGGGCAGAAGGTGGTTCTGAACCAGTATGGAGCAGGGGAACAGTCAAAACAACAAGTGAAAATGCCAGCTAGGTACCTTCCTCCAAGGCTTACTTGCTAGTGTGTCAGCAAAATACTACAGCCCAGTCGCCTCATTGCTGGAAAGTCATCCTCTCCTTTTACAGCTGATGTTCTGTTGGAGAAACTGTACGGCTTGGGAAGACCCATGTGCTCCTTCATGTACTTGCTGCCCTTTTTTGCAACCTTCAGCAAAACTTCTCATGCCCTGGAACCTTCAGCTGCTTCACTTTTAGAGCGAGGGGCAGGATTAACATCTCTCAGGGCTCTTTCAGGTCAAAGTAATTCTGAGATGCGATTATTTTTGTTTTATGATGTTTAAAATCAATATTTCTCAAATTTGAGTTTTTCATCCTTTTCATGGATTTTACCTTTCCGCAGTATCCTCACTGCTATTTTACTTAATATTTTTGTTGAGTTCAGGTCACTCTTTAAAGTTCTGTCTATTTGAAAAAGAAGCCCTAAATAATTACCTTAAGTGGAAAACCAGAATCACTTACCAAGAATAGAAGATAAGCTCAAAACTAAGTATAATGGAAACCAAATAGCATTATGAAGTTCCAACTTCGTGTTGGTTGCTGCTGCAGGCTAGGCCCGAGGCCTGGTCTCTTTAATAAATACTAAAGAGATACTGAAGACACACCAGTGCCCAACCGAGACTTTCTCCTTGACTTAATCCAAAGAACTGAAGGTGAATCCAGAAAGGAATGAATTTTTCATTTTATTATTCAACGTTATTTAATTCCATTATTATTTGGCATCTAAAATGTCTGTATTTCTTCACTGTCAAGAGTCCCTGGCATTGGGATAAACTCTGCTTCTAGTATAATGAAGGTAATTAACTCTCTGGATTTAAAGTTGGGAAGCAAATATATATTGAGCTCCAACTCTGGGCCAATTACTGTTGTAAGGACTTTACATACTTTTTGTCATTTAATCTCCACCATGGCACAGTAGGGATAGACACTCTTCCTAACACTATTTTACAGATGAGAAAACTGAAGCTTCAGAGAGGTTTCATAACCAGTGGCCATTTCCCCTCCTATCAATAGTTGATATAAGTTCCATATGGCATTAAATCTTAGAGCCGAAGCCTGAGTTTCAATGGCTCAAGGTTTGAGAACGCTGTGTGTGTGTGTGTGTGTGTGTGTGTGTGTGTGTGTGTTGGTTAATACTGCTTTCCCTTCAAAGTGCCAAGAACACAGGCTAATCTGGATTTCTATTAATCTTGTGTCAGTGGCAATGACAGTTTTACTGGGAGAGGCTGATAAACATCAGTCTGCGAGGATGGGAGTGGGCCATAACATAAACACACTTCTCCAGAACGGCTACAGAGCAAAAGAGGCTGCCCAGATTCGGATTGAAAACTCCCAGCGTGAGTGTGCACATGTGCAGTGGGTGCCTCTCACACGCACGTGAAGCTCATTTGGTGCCCCAGGCACTGCTGCCAGACGGGAAGAGAATGCGTTTTCCTGTGTGTAGCCATTCCATGTCTCTTCTGATTGACAGGGCACACTTCATAAAGCTTCCAACCAACTTCCTGCAAGCAAGTCAGGGGCCTTGATAAGAAAGTGGAATTCAGGGCAATTAAGTGCAGTCTGAGCCCAGAGAATGCATTTTCTGAGGATGGTTGTACACCAGCTGCTTTCAATGACATTCCGTTCATTCAGGGATGACTTTTACAAAATAGGCTGCTTCTAGGGGCTGTGACCACAACAGAGCCTCGGTGGTATTCAGACCGGGCTGTCTCTGGGCATGTGAATCATGCAGCTCTTTTCCAAGCCTCAAATGGAAATCAGCTTGGAGAATGATGGAAACCTACAGGGGCTCAGCTTGCAAGGTTGACTTAGAGTGGAGTGAAATATGCAGGTGACCCAGGGGAAGGTGGCACTGTGGTTTGAAGCTTTAGAGACACGGGGGTTTATATTGCTGCATATTAGTTACTCATCTCCTTAAATGAGTAACCTCATCTCCTTAAACCTCAATTTCCTCATCTGTTAAATGAATTTTTCAAAAAATTTGCGGTAAAGTGGACATAACATAAAACTATTTTAACCTTTTTTAGGCATAAAATGCATTCACATTGCTGTGTAAACCAGGTTTTTGTTAAGATTAGATTAAAGAATTTAAAGTATTTGGAGCAGTACCTGATAACTGGAAGTTGTTCAAAAAGTGGCAATTAAGTTTATCATTATTATTATTATTTTGCATTATGTATTAATCATCTTGTGCTTTTCAAAATATAATGCCTGTTCCAGTGACAAGTGTTTCTTGGGTATGGGCGGGTGCTAAGGAGTGGATGATACAAAGTTAAGGGGAGGATGTGGAACCTGCCAACTGCCTCAGGAAACTCAGAGTCTGGTAGGGAAAGCAAATATATATATGTATGTATATATGCATATGTGTGCATATACATATACATATATATGTAAAAATGCTGTCATGAATAACACATAAAACATTTCAAGAAACCAAAGGGGAAGAGAATGATTCCAAGGAGTGTAGAGTACAATGAAAACAAGGCTAGGTGAAACATTTGCATGAAACTTGAAGGTTATGAAGCACTTTTACACTCACAGTCTCATCTTTTTTTTTTTTTTTTTTTTTTTTTTTTTTAGATTGAGTCTCCCTCTGTGGCCCAGGCTGGAGTGCAGTGGTGCGATCTTGGCTCACTGCAACCTCTGCCTCTCAGGTTCAAGTGATTCTCATGCCTCAGCCTCCAGAGTAGCTGAGATTACAGGCATGCACCACCATGCCTGGCTAATTTTTATATTTTTAGTAGAGACGGAGTTTCTCCGTGTTGGCCAGGCTGATCTCAAATTCTTGACCTCAAATGATCTGCTCGGCCAAGGTCTCATCTCGATTGATTTATTTTTCTTCTTATTCTTATGATAATCCTGTGAGCTAGAACAGGGAAGGGATCATGGATTCCCATTTTCTGGTGGGTAAACTGAGGCTCAAGGTCACTGAGTGACAGATGGATAGGTGCAGAGTTGGGCTGAAATATGATGACTCAAAACCCAATGCTGTGAGTCAATTAGTCCACTTCATCTCAGGTCACAAGACAGTCAAAATACAGTTCTGATCAGGGTGTGAGTGGATACAGAGGTGGTATCACCAGTTGCGTAGGTCAGGGGTTTTCCACGGGGTGATATGCACGCCACTGCAGATGCAGTATGATTGGGTAGACCACAGAGGGAGAATTCCTAAATTAATAGTTACACGCTTTAAAGTTCATCAGAAACATCAAGCCAGTGATTTTGTGAATGTTATTTCTCAGAGCAAGTCTAAATTAAAGTTTAAATAGAGCGTCCATTTAAAGAGTAATTTCTAAGTAAGTCACAAAGCTTGTAGTCTGCAGATTTGGTAGAACTTGTGATGGATGCCAAGGACTACAGCTAGGAAACACGGACCTGCTTGGGCTGAGTGGTCCTTTATGAAGACTCAGGGCTGGAGAGAAAATGGCGATCCAGCCAGCAGACCAACCCAGGTGCTGTTCATCCACTCTGTGTGCTGTGTGGTGTGAACTGATTCAACACAGACATAATCTGGAATGCTAACAAGTCTCCCTGGGTCTTGCTTCTCTTTGTAGATTGCTGACTTTGGGCTTTCCAACCTGTACCAGAAGGATAAGTTCTTACAAACGTTTTGTGGGAGTCCACTCTATGCATCTCCTGAGATTGTCAATGGGAGACCTTACCGAGGGCCAGAGGTGAGCAGCTTGCCCGATGCATATGGGGCGGGGGAGGGGAGGGAGAAGAGGGAGGAAGGGCAAAAATTGGATTTGAGAAATGCTTAAAAAAACAGAGCCTGAAAAAGCAAGCAAGGAAAACTTTTCCTTATATGATTATAAAAGCAATAATATATACTCCTGGGAGGAAATTTGGAAAACCCAGAAAAGCCTAAAGGAGAAAATAAAGGTACCTGCCATCCCCCCACAAAAGATAATCACTTAATACTTTTGTGACTTTTAAACTTTTCCCAATGTAGATCTCTGCATTTCAAAACTATTGAGATTAAGTTAATAAAAGGCAAGATATACATATGTATATGACACACATATGTATATCTTGCCCTTTACTATCAAAACTATCTTGTGACACTTTCCAAATTCATTATTAAAAACATGATTTTCAGCCAGGCATGGTGGCTCATGCCTGTGATCCCAGCATTCTGGGAGGCCGAGGCAGGCAGATCACGAGGTCAGGAGATCGAGATCATTCTGGCTACCATGGTGAAACCCCGTCTCTACTAAAAAATACAAAAAAATTAGCCGGGCGTGGTGGCAGGCACTTGTAGTCCCAGCTACTTCGGAGGCTGAGGCAGGAGAATGGCGTGAACCCGGGAGGCGGAGCTTGCAGTGAGCGGAGATCGTGCCATTGCACTCCAGCCTGGGCGACAGAGCGAGACTCTGTCTCAAAAAAAACCAAAAAAACCCACATGATTTTAATGACATTTTATTGATGAATATAGCATAATTTATTTAGTAATGTCTAGATGTGAACATTTAGTTTTTTCCCTATTATATCAAAACAGACACAAAAAACAAAAAATTGCCTCACGCTGGAGTAAATATCTTTTTTTTGTATATATTTTTGGCAGCATGCATATCTGACTAAGGAAATACATTTTAATGACATCTTCTAATTCATGAGAAATACATTTCCCTACATGCTAGTGTTTCAAGGGCCACTGTAAGATATGGGTATGTGGAAATTTTATTTTGAAAATGAGTGAGTTGTGCGTGATGATTCTCTTTTTGAAAGATGATTCTCTTTTCAGAGAAGTTCATCCACTCAGTAATCTTTAAATAGCCGCTGCTCAGTGTGTTGAAATGTTTTCTTTTAAATATTTATCTGTTTGAGAGTGTTTTGGGGCAGGGCTGAAGGGTAAAGAGAAGGATGCCAAGACCATCTATCAACTGCAATGAAGAGAAAGTCTTTCTAAAATAAGAATGCGAGGGAGGATCATAGAACTCAATTTACAAACTTGTACAAACTCAACACTAAATTTCTCGTAGATAATGAATATTTTGGTCTTTGATGACCTGTTTTTTGAGGTTACAGGCTGGCAGCCTGTGATCTGGTCAGCAAACTCCTTTATTTGGCCACCTTAGTTTTTATTTTTAAAAATTGAGCAAACATGTAATAATTAGGAGATTTCATATAAAAGTTTGGTTTCTGACTTCTCTTGAAAAACCAAAGAATCTAGTAGTGCTGGGCCCACATTACTACATGGCAGCAATTAGCTAAACAGAGGTTGTCTGCCTAAGACGGGTGAATGTACTGTACAGTTTGTCTCCATCCCCAACACTCTATGTCGTAACCCCAATTCTTTCTTGCTTTGTGTATATCTGTTGTTTGCTTGGCTCTTACAAGATTTCAGTTTGTAATTCCTGATTCATTTGAAGAAAGTGCAGGAAGGAATTGATTCCTGGATTAGGAATGAAGAGCCCCGCATTCCAGTTTTACCTCCATCACTGGGGCAGGGCCTCTGGAGAAACCATTTAGGTTCTTCCTGCCTCAGTATTCTCATCTGTCAAATGGGGCTGAAAATAGTCCTGGCCCTAACTGCTTCACAAAATTGTAGTGAGGATTAAATAAGATAATCTGTTTAAGAAAGTACTTTACCAATTGGGACCACTGGCCTCTGTTCAGAATGGAAAGGTCAGGCTCTGTAGCAGGTCCCAGCTGCATTGCTGTCAGATGTCAGGCTGTACTGGGAACCTGTCTTCCAGGTGCTAAATTCAGTTCCTGGGGGCATTGGGGGTGGCTGCTCACAGGCTGTGATGCTAATGGTTTGGAAGGCACCTTGGGATCTGTTTCCCAGCTCCTATATGTGCTGTCTCTCTGCTTCAGGTGGACAGCTGGGCCCTGGGCGTATTGCTTTACACCCTTGTTTATGGAACAATGCCCTTCGATGGTTTCGATCACAAAAACCTCATTCGGCAGATCAGCAGTGGAGAGTACCGGGAGCCCACGCAGCCCTCAGGTGCGTGCCCTGTGGAGGGAGGGCCAGAGGTGGAGGGGAGAGAGACCTGTTTACCCACTCTCATTTTCTGCGTTTGTTTTAGTATGTCTGTCTGGAGTCTCCTGGTTTTCCTCTTTCTTCTTCCCAGAAGCATCATCCTTGGCAAAGCTTGCTTGTTAGGCTGCTTTCCCCAAACCTTCCCAAAGGAACTTTTCAGAGCACACATTCTAGGAGTCCTGTTTGCTTGCTGTGTGGATCTGGGCAAGTCACTTAAGCTCTTTGGATTCAGATTCTCCACCATAAATACAAATTTTGGAAAAGGTATTAGACGAGGTCTCTCCCAGTCTGAGTAGACACAGAAACCACCCACCTCAGAATGTAAATACTGTGAGGGTGGCCACTGCTCTGTCTCTCACTCCTGTGCCACTGGCATAGGGTATGGCTCATGGGCACTGTCTCATTATTGATTTCTGCATAACAACTCTACCCCATCTGCCCCCACAAAACAAACTCAGTGGTTTACACAACCTTGAAATCATCTCTTTCACTCCTGTGGGTTGGGAGGTGCTCTTCTGGCCTTCCTTGGGGTTTTCCCTACAGTTGTAAGCAGATGGCAGCTGGGGCTGCTGCTGGGGCTGAACAGTGGACCTTCCTCGGTGCTCTCTGAGGTGCCACCCCACAGTGGCAGCAAGGGGTTCTAAGAAAGAGGAATAAAAAGTTGCTGAGCCTTCTTTCTTTTTCTAAAATTTGTTTTTCCTGAGACAGTGTCTTGCTCTGTTGCCCAGGCTGGAGTGCCAGTGCTATGTCCACGCTTGTACCCAGATTGTGTCATATCTGCTGTGTTCTGTTGGTCAAGACAACCACGGTCATGAGCTCCATCTCTTGATGGGAAGTATCATGCCTGTACAGGGAGTGTGTACAGCTGGTCATCATTGGTCATTTTTGTTAAAAAATGAAGTTAACATTGGCACTTCATTTATATACATACTATACACATGCATATATATATACACACATATATATGTATATCTGTATATCTGCACATACACAGTTGATTCTCATTATTCATAGTAGTTATGTTCTACAAAGTTGCTAGAAACACTGAATTTGTGAATACTGAACTATTGCTCCTAGGGGAAATAGAGGGTTAGATTCCTGAGAGCCTCTGCTCACAATATTTTTGTCAACTGATTGATATATAACCTTGTTTTATGTGTGTCTCTGTTTAAAGACACCTTATTTAATCTATATTATTAGTTCATTAACATCAAACTCAACAGCCAACAGCACTGTAACTCATGCCTGAACAAAGCTGATCTAACACACTTATCTTCTCCATAAGGCACATCACAGCCTTCTTGTGCTAGGAACACTAAACAGTGCTTCAGCACTGTTTTGGGGGGTCATTTAAAATGGAGGAATCGCCAATAAAAATCCCAAAAAGTGTGAGAAACACAGCACTAAATAGACTGAGAAAAAGACACTTTGTATAATAGTATGAGATCTGAAATAAGGCAGAGTGTTGCCTTGTTTGACCTTAGCTGTGAATACATACGTGTGTTGGGTGGGGTGACTCTAATTGTTTGCTGCTCTGTGCATATGCAAAAATGACTGCAAAAGAGCTGTGAATATTGATTTTGAGGTTACAAATAAATTTTAGCGAGTAGACAAATTTGCAAATACAGACCCTATGGATACTGAGGCTAGACTGTTGTATGTGTGTATATATAGATATGCATTCTCTCTCTCTATATATATATATAATTTTTTCAACAAGCCAGCCTATTCTTTTTGGAAAAATTCAGAGTGACCTCTAAAGTGGTCTTCTTTGCCTCACCAGCTAACTGATGCCAATGCGGTTCCTGGCACATTGTAGGGGTTCAAGAAATACTTATTGAATGACTGAGGATGATCATCTTGGTACTTTTCAGAGGTGTTTCTTGCCCCAGTCCCTTTTACCAGGCCTTTGCCAGCTTCTCATTCGCCTACATAAGCAGCTGAGGGGAGGTGGCAGCTTCCCAGAATATAATTCACCCCAATTGGGGGAACACAGTTTGAACCTAAAAGTCAGTTTATAAGCTGTGAGAGTCAGTTGGTTCCTGTGGCCTTCTCAGCATCCCTTTAGGGGTTTTCCCTAATTGTCTGGCAGCAGAAATTTGCAAGTAGAATTTTCAGACAGGCTGTGAATGGGTAGCAGATATAGATCACTTCTCTGATCTGACAGCTCAGTAGGAGAAGGCTTATGTCAGAGAGGGAAAGAAGGCGAGCTCACCGAGTATTGGTCTCAGAACCTGGCCAGGACCTTGGGGGGAGGCCAGTTTCGGGGACAGCCACTCTTACTGCCCAGGTGTGTCAAGTAAGTGCCTCTGAGCCACACTCCATGTTCTGTCTCTGGCATGCTTGCCCAGTGACTGCAGGTGCTGTATGTTTATACAAGCCCACCTGTGGAGGAATAAAGAAAGCAATGGTGATCTACACCTGTTTTTCCTTTGGTAAAATGATATTCGCCAAAGGAATGGTGGGGCACCTCTCGGGGTCAAGTCTGGATTCTTTCTTGGTTACCTGACCTTCCACATTTTCTAAAGATTCGAGATGATGAAAAGCTTCATAGCTCTATGACATTTCCTCACTTATAGGGAAAACATGCCACCATGTGATGGCACCCCGGCCTGTTCCAAGTCTTGATTACGCTTTTGATGGATGGTCTGAAAGGCTGGGGCATCCTGCTCCATAATGTGACTGGACCAGGTCTCCAGATGGATTTTTCCTAGAGGGAGTGTGTGTCTTTCATCACTGCTGGAGGGTCCCACTATCACAAAGCTAGAAGCTCCCACGTAATGCCCGATTCTTTTTGTCCCTTGTCCCTTAGATGCTCGAGGACTCATACGGTGGATGCTGATGGTGAACCCCGATCGCCGGGCCACTATTGAGGACATTGCCAACCACTGGTGGGTGAACTGGGGCTATAAGAGCAGCGTGTGTGACTGCGATGCCCTCCATGACTCTGAGTCCCCACTCCTGGCTCGGATCATTGACTGGCACCACCGTTCCACAGGGCTGCAGGCTGACACCGAAGCCAAAATGAAGGGCCTGGTCAAACCCACGACCTCTGAGGTCATGCTAGAGCGGCAGCGGTCACTGAAGAAATCCAAGAAAGAGAATGACTTTGCTCAGTCTGGTCTGGATGCAGTGCCTGAAAGCCCATCCAAGTTGAGTTCTAAGAGGCCCAAGGGGATCCTGAAGAAGCGAAGCAACAGCGAGCATCGCTCTCACAGCACTGGCTTCATTGAAGGTGTAGTTGGTCCTGCCTTACCCTCTACTTTCAAGATGGAGCAGGACTTATGCAGGACTGGTGTGCTCCTCCCAAGCTCACCAGAGGCAGAGGTGCCGGGAAAACTCAGCCCCAAGCAGTCGGCCACGATGCCCAAGAAAGGCATCTTGAAAAAGACCCAGCAGAGAGAATCAGGTTACTACTCTTCCCCAGAGCGCAGCGAGTCTTCGGAGCTGTTGGACAGTAACGATGTGATGGGCAGCAGCGTCCCCTCCCCCAGCCCCCCAGACCCAGCCAGGGTGACCTCCCACAGCCTCTCCTGCCGGAGGAAGGGCATCTTGAAACACAGCAGCAAATACTCAGCGGGCGCCATGGACCCGGCCCTGGTCAGCCCTGAAATGCCCACACTGGAATCCCTGTCAGAGCCTGGTGTCCCTGCCGAGGGCCTTTCCCGGAGCTACAGCCGTCCTTCCAGTGTCATCAGCGATGACAGCGTGCTGTCCAGCGACTCTTTCGACTTGCTGGATTTGCAGGAGAATCGCCCTGCCCGCCAGCGCATCCGCAGCTGCGTCTCTGCAGAAAACTTCCTCCAGATCCAGGACTTTGAGGGGCTCCAGAACCGGCCCCGGCCCCAGTACCTGAAGCGGTACCGGAACCGGTTGGCAGACAGCAGCTTCTCCCTCCTCGCAGACATGGATGATGTGACTCAGGTCTACAAGCAAGCGCTAGAGATCTGCAGCAAGCTCAACTAGCACTCCAGGGCGCCGGGGGCAGGTGGGGGTACGAGGGAGGAAGGGGAGCAAGACTTGGGCTCATAGGCTGGTTACCTCTTTGCTGGCCATGACAACAGACTGAAAAAGGATTGGCACTGTCTCACTTGGCCAAGTTTGCAGCCTTGAGCTAACACTTAAAAGGGAGGGGTGGGCTCTTCTGCCAGTTCTGACAACTGTCAGTCAGAATTTGGGCCCTATTTGGCATTTGCTTTATGGCACCTCCTAGAGGACCAGCTGTCCAGGAGAGGTGGTGTTGACCGGCACTCAGTGGGTAGAGAGGAAGCATATGGGGAGGGAACATTTCCTTAGAAGTTATCCAAATGCTTCTGGAGGAGGGGCAGGAGACACTTGGGCTGTTTGCCTTGGGTGAGCCCGAAGAACTTGCCCCTTTTCTCCTTGCATTAGCAAGCTAGGTCTGGCTGCATGGAGCTGGCAAGTAGATTTCAGCAACTTGAGCTTGAGTTGATGATCAATTAATAGTGGCTGCCGGTTGTGCTGGTGTGAGTGGCCCACATCATGGGGAAGGAGTGCTGTGATTGACTAGTAATGGCTACCACGGGAAAGGGAAGGGAAGCAGTAGCACTAATGCTATGTAGTTGTCATCTTTGATCTGGCTGGGCCCTCGGAATTGGGTTTAGTCATGCTGTGGGATCTATGTTAACTCTTTCATCCACTGGTGAGGCATTTGTTAATTTGCTACTCAACTTTGATGAAAGACAGGGCCTTGGTCAGAGAGAGAACACTCTGAACTCTGCTAAGGACATAGAGTCAGCCCATGGTGATTTAGCTCCTTGCTGTTCACCTCCTCTTTCCTGATGTCTGCCTTGCTCTACAGCACAACCTCTTGAGTGTGGACAGGGAGAAAGATGATGGTGTCAGAGGTAAAAACTATTGTATATGACAGGGCACAAGATGGTCTGTGATCTTTGCACAGATGAATGGAAGTTGATGTGCACCAACAAGAGGCAACTTGTCACTTTCTTTCTCAATTTTAACTGGAATGCTGCCTCTTGGGCTCTCACATGCATGGATGCTTTGAGTTGGACGTGCTACTGTCCATAGTTTCCAGAGGATTACCTGGCTCAACCATTGGCTCTGTTCACCAATGACAAATGGTTTCCCCATCCACTGAGTGTAGCATCCTCAGAGGTAGACAAGTTTGCTTCTAGGGAGTTAGATGTAGGTGGGATATTGGGATGAGGAAAGGAAAATCAGGTAGACGGTGCTTTTTTCCCCCAAATCTAAGTATTCTATGTCATGGTTTTAAACTTTGACATGAACTCCTGGGCTTTGGGGGAGAAGAAAGTTCCATTCATTTAAATGAATAAGGTGTTGAAAGAGTGCAGGGGGTTGGGAGGAAGCATGTAAGAGAGTGAACATTTCCTTAGATGTCACCCAGATGGTTCTGGGGGAGGTAGAAAAGAGGTGCGGCAGGACTCATCTTAAAAAGTAAAAAAAAAGAAAAAGAAGAAAAAAAGAAAAAAACATTAGATATGTAATTTCTAAACACCCGGATCACAATGACAAGATGCCACTCCAACCATGGGACACCTTCAGGATTCTAGGTTTGGACTTCCTGGTCTCTTTGGGATGATTTCAGATTCTGCTGGCCAAGGCAAATTGAACTCATTTCAAGATGGCCACCACTGGTAGCCATGTAGATAGACAGGAAGACCGGTCTTGGGAACATCTTTGGAAAAACCAACAAAAAATAGTTCGTAGAGAGAGAAGAAAAAATTCACCTTACAGTGCTAAGAAAGTGCATTAGAATGGAATTGCCCTTTCCTTAAGGAGACAGTTTGGTTTCTCCCCTTGCCACCGGCTCTGGTGTTTTGGCTTGTGCATTCCTTCAGGTTGAGCTGAGCAGTGTGTTATGGGAAGCTGCTCAGTTTCCTTTCATTCAATTCCACCTCCTTCCTGAACTCTAATAGAGGTTATAAGGGGAAAAAAAAAAATCTGTAGATAGCAAATTGTGCGTGTGTGGGGGGCGGGGGGGATGGGGGTGTGGGTGCATGGAGGGCAACCTGCAACTCTGAGCTCCCTACTTCCTGCCTCATTTCATTCTGGCTTTTCTGAATAGCCTATGCTGCTGCCCTGCTGGCCCCTTGCGCACGGCAGCTGGCCGTGTCCTTAGCTGTCAGTATGACTTAAATCTAGCACCAACCTACTGGTTGATGTCCTTTTTCCTTTTGCCAAGTGATTGAGTCTGTTTAGTATTTTCCATCATTCTAGTCTTTAAATAAAAATGACACTATTGAGGAAAGTCAGTCTACTCCCTTCTTCCTCCCCCCAAACACGTGTTCTCTTTCGTCAGGAAACTCAGCCAGTGGACTGTGGCAGAGAAAATCCTCCACTCAGAGGCAGAGACTCTGAGTTAAGTCATAGGTGGCCTTAGGCATCTGCATTGTTTGTGGTGGTTAAGTTTTCCTTCCAGTGAGGGCTGGAAGGATGAATTAGCTGGTCCCTGAAGCCCTGCTTAGCTCTGACACTGCCAACATCCTCTGATTCTAGGTGTGATGTTGACTGTCTTTTCAAGGAAAAACTTGCAATAGAGGGAAAAGCCGTTAAAGCAGCTCCCTGCTTCATCATTAAGTCCTGTCATCCCTACCAGCCAATCCCAGTCAAAGAAGTTATGCTTTATTCACTTCCGTGGAATTACAAGTGAGAGACACTTTTAGGACCTGATGGACAAAGCAGGAGATTCGCTGTCAGCTTTCCTGGTCCTCTCTTTGCTTCTGTGGGCCTTGCACCGTCTTAGTTTACACATCTGCCAAAGGGGTAGAATTACACTTCTTTTTACAGGTAAATTTCAAGGCACGATCAGTTTTCAGGAAGTGCTTCAAGACCCCAGGTGAAATGAAAATGCTAAGTACCCTCTGAATTGCCATCCCTGTTACCAGGTGCTGCTTCTTCAGATGATGGGGAGCACTTTTCAGGGTGAAATTCAGGCGAGTTTTGCCCAGGCCTGCTGTCTTGAGTACAAATGTGAATGATCGACTGACTGCTTGTTGCCAAACTGGAAATGTTCTGTAGGGATTTACTGGCATGGTATCATTCCTAGAAGAAAAAAAGAGAGAAACTTGACTGCACATTAAAAAAAAAAAAAAAAAAAAAAAAAATTCCACGTTGTGACTTTTATTTAATTTTTTTTTTTTTTTTTTTTTGGTAATAAAAAGTTGACTTTTTTTATTTGAATTTGTCTTTTTTATTTATTGGTCTGAAAGGCATTTCAAAGGTATTATAATAATATATTGGTGTAATTTAATTGGTGCAACATGCTTTATGGCTCCTGTCAAAATTGGTTTTCACTCATTTGATTGATTTGAGCCCAGAACAGCCTACAGGGGGAAAAAAAGCTGGATAACTACCCAAAGTGTTTGTATTTTTATTGGAAACTGATTTTTGTTTCATTTTGGTTTTTGTTTCTGTTTTTATTTTTAAATTAAATAAATTGCAATGAACTGAACCAGAGAGCTTGCTTCTTTATTTGGTGGTTTTTCTTAGTCAAGTAAGTGTCAGAATCAATATAAGTAACAGACACCTACCCAGATGAGCTTAAGCAGAAAAGGGAATTTATTCGAAGTTCTCAGAAGAGGAAATGCAGCTTGCAGTGCAGCTGGAATTAAGAATTGGAGTGGTGGATTGAAGAGGACAGTATACCCTCTATTCTGCTTCTCTTTGCGTATCAGCTTTCTTCTCCTTTTATACCCTGGCTTTCTCCTCCCTGATTATGGAACCTACCTTGGCTTATCCCATAGCTTCCAAATTTACATGTTCTCAGTCTTGGTTTCCAACAGAGACTACTCACCAGGTTCCTTAGTTCTGAACTCTAGACGTCATCAAAGGCTAACACTCAGCCACGCTTTTCCCCCACATTGCAGTTTCCTGTGCCTGCCCTTTCCCTAGACACTCCCTTCTATCCCAAGGGCAGGAAGTTGCTAATCTGATTGGGATTAATCAGAGTCCAAGATCAATGGGTCATGATTTCCTAATGGGGAAGGCCACTCGCGGCTCTGCCTAGAATGACATAGTATCTTGAGTCCCATTTTGCCCCTGTTTCTTGTGCAAATAGACCCTCCACAAAGCTCTCGGAAGGAGAGGTGCATCATAGAACAAGATTGAAGAGTTCCTGGATCCTGGCCATAATATCAAGTGACGTCAAACCCTACCCTAGTATCAAACATTAGAGAGTGATGCTGTGCACAGAATAGTAGTGTTATAGGATCCATGCCAGAAAAGTCTGACTTTCCAAATAAATTACAACTTGCACCCCTTTTCTAGTTTACTGGAAGAATATCTGATGTAGCATTGCCGTATTTAGCAAATAAAACTATAGAATGCCTAGTTACCTTTGAACTTCACATATACTATGAATAATTTTTCAGTATAAGTGTGTTCCAGACAATATTTGGGTCATGCTTATACTAAAAAAAAAAATTTGTCTGAAATTCAAATTTAGCTGGGCATACTGTATAGTATCTGGTAACCTAACCTGATAGGGCTTAGTTGTCCAAATTGACCAGGTGCTGGGTATGGTAGGAGGTTGGGGAATGGATGCTTATAATTGTGGCTTGCCAAATTAGAACATGTTGGTGCCTCTCAGGTTGGACCGAGGTGGGAAGAATTCCAACTTCAGTCTGGACTTGATAATTGCAATTGAGTTAAGTTGCTACACCTTTTTGGAACTCAGCTTTCTCATCTGTCTAATGGGTGTATTCATTGCCCTCTTACCCAACTCTAACAGGGGTACGAAAAAGAAGGAATGAGAGAAATTCTATGAAGTTACCTTGAATATAAAACTCAATATGAATGAGAAACAATAGTCCTTTATTGGCAGGGCAATATTCACTGACTTAAAATAGGACATTTAAAGACCTGTGGGCTTTTAATTCTTACTATAGCCCCTGCCCCCACTAGCAAATGGGCAGTCATTTGCAGGTAGAGGCGCTGTAGGTCATTTGTGGAGTATATTTGCTTAGAAGTGTGGACCTTGGAAAAGACATAATTCTCTATCCAGGCAGAAAGAACAGCCTGTGCGTGGCCTAGAGGCTGGACCAAATGTGACATAGTAAGCATAGTGAAAAAATAGGGTTGCTTGTAGTGGCAGCAGCTGACATGTTGTCAACCGTTGTGGGGTTAATGGGCAGTGGTCACTTTAAGGAGGAAAAGTTGAGAGAACTAATGTGTATTTAACTTCTACATAATGCTCTCTCCATCTTTGTTCAGTAGCAAATGACAGAAATCCACTCAGACCATGCTAAGTAATGACTAATTTACTGCTTCATGGAACCGAGAAGCCCAGGTGTATGTCTCAGGCACAGTTGGACCCAGGAGTTCAAGGGATCTCACTGGCCTCCTTTTCACTCACTCTCCTTGGGTGAGGCTTTATTCTTAGCATGCCCTCTCCACATGGCAGCAAGATAGCTCCTGGCCAAAGCAGGGTTATGACGTTATTTGAGAGCGTGATCCCCCAACCAGATAGGTCTTAATGTCCTAGCATTTATGTAACAAGGAAGGACTGTGATTGTCTTTGTTTGGGTCATGTGTCTCCTTCTGGCCCATCACAGAGTCTGGGTGGAGAAGTGCTCTTATTGGCCAGCCTGGATCATATACCCACCTTGCAGTATATTTGAATGACATGGAATCACACAGAATGTGGGAGGACAGTTCACCAAAGGAAGGAATTCAGAGCCAACGATGTTAATTACACATTTTGGGCTTCAATTTCTTCACCAATATAGTAGCATTAAATAATTGCTAATTTTCAGAGTTATTGTGAAGATTAAATGAAATAAAGTACCTAACGCAGTGCCTGGCACATAGTGGATTTTTAATTTATACAGATAATCTCAGGGAAGATAATAGTAGTAATACTATAAAGAGGAGAAATATTTGTTAGGAAGATTTTAGCTGTAAAATTAGCTATAATATCAGAAAATTCAGCTGAAATTGGCTTAAACACTACAGGGGCTTTATCAGTTCATATACCCAGAATTCTAGAGGTTGGAGAGTTTCCCAGTTACTTGGGTCTAGTGAAATAAGTTACATATACAACCCCCCTCCCCAAATTACATATAGTAAGTTCTATGGAAGAAATGGATGTGGTGCAGAGATAGAGAAGTAAGGGTGGGAGCTACCTCCTGTAGAAAGAGCGTTCAGGGAAGGCATCTCTGAAGAGGTGACTTTTGGGCAGAGATCTGAAGATGAAGACTAGCCATATGTAAAGTGAGCATTCTGGGCAGAGAGAACAGTATCTGCAAAGGCCCTTGGGTCTTCACATTAGAGCTTTACAGGATTCATTTCTGGTTCCATTGGCATAGGACAGCCATGATCCAGGGAGCACGATGTTTTGTTAAACATGTATGGCCATGTTTTAACATGGACTGAATGTGATCATTTATGACTTTGTGTACAGATGGCTGCTTCCTTCAACAGGTGGTCCCCAGACAAAGATACATGCCATGATGTGCAGTTTTAAATGAGAATATGTTTCCGCTGCAGAAATTCACTGCCAATTTATTGAAATTTATGGAGAGGATGTTCTTAATCTACAGAATCATGCAAAGTTTGGGGTATGAAAGTGGAACAGCAGTGTTGCTATATGAAGACCAGAAAGTGCAAACAAAGGGGTTTTCATGTCACAAGACTTGTCTCCTCCTGGCACAACTGTCTGGTTCCAGTGGGAGGTTGCATGGGAAATTTGCAATCAACTTTGTTGTAAAATAGTGAGTTATTTTCATCCTGACGAAAAATTTACACTTCTCTACCTGACCTGGAATATCCATTGTATCTTGACCAGCTGGTTCCCCATCCACTTCATGTACTAGTGTTTGTTTGTGAATTAGTCTGGATAGACTATGTTATGCTGAAGTAACAAATAAACCCTGAAATGTCAATGTCTCAATATAATAACAATTTCTCACTCCCACTAAGTCCAGTACAGGGCTGTTCTCTTGTCATGTCACCTCCCAGCAGGTACTCAAACACCTGAGCTGCTTCTATCCTGTGGTTCTGACATCTCCGGGTTCTTCATTTCTAGCTGTGCAAATGAAGGAGAGAGCAGAAGTCGGAACCTTTTAAAGATCAGGCCTAGATGTGGTGTGCATCATTTGCGTCCACCTCCCATTGTTCAAAACTCAGCCATCTGACCTCGACCTAATCATAGACAGTCCTCAAGTCTATAGTACTTAAAAAGCGAAAAGTAAAATGGAATCAGATGAACACTTAGCAATGTTTCTGCCACAGCTTATTTTTGCTTCCTGGTGGGAACTCTCACCATTAAGAAAAATAATTATTGTTAGTATTAACCAAGTGCTTACCGGGCCGCAGTCTGTGTGCCTACCCTTTGCATTTATTATCTCTTTGAAGTTTCCTCATGCTCCTTTGTCTCCATTTTTACAGATAAGGAAACACTTTTGGAAAAGTGCAGTAACTTGCCCAAGTCAACCAACTGTTAAATGTGCATCTGGATTCAAATATGGGCCTGGATGACTGACTTTCAAGCCCAAGCTCTTAGTTGCTCTGTTGGGAATCAGGGATGATCATTCTGCAACTCAGTCTCCTTGACAGTAAGCCCAGCCTGTTGCCATCTCTGTTGATATAAACAGCATTTCCTGCAGGAGCTGAGCAGATATCAGGAACAAAGACAGTTGCCCAAATCAATGCACTCTCCAAACAAACATGGAGCAGAGAGCAACTGTCCCCAGTACGCTACCAATGTGAAGTTCTAGAAGCTCCCGTCTCAGCAGATGGGATTAACAGAATGATTCATGTTTCTTAACTACTCTACTGTGGGATGGGATGGAGGTCACTCCATCCTGAGCACCTGCAATGTCTCAGAATTCAGTAAAGGAGACAGCAGGTCTCCAGTGGCTGTCCAAAGCTGTGCATGCACATATTCCAACAGGGCTCTATATGGCCTTTTCTATGTTGTGGTGCCTCAGGGGACCCTACTTCTAGAGGACTGAGAGCTCAAAGCAACCCGGTTGGGGCCATATGGAAACATAGGATGCCAGGCTGGGTTGCATGGACCTGCCTGGGGTCAGGCACTGCAACAGCAACTTCATCACATAAAAATCAGTGGGTCATCATGACTTCAAAGCCCAGTATAGGGTGATGACACTGGCATGGCCCTCAACCAGACTTCCACAGAAACATCTCACTGTCAGTGAAATTCAGGGCTGGAGACAGTTCATTTTGGAGGCAGCTGGAGAAAAGGGACTCCAAAAAATAGCTAGCTTGAGAATGTTCTGCAAGTTGGAAGTTGTGAATCACCGAAGCTGAAAAACATCTGATTCAGCAGTGCCTAGGGCGTTCCAGAAGTTTCAGCTGTCAGGCCTTGGAGTCCAGACAAAAACACGTGTGCAGAGCAGAAAGCCAGATGCAGACTTCTTACCCAGTCCTGCTGGTCATCTCCAAAGGCATGGATGTGGGTTCAATTGCTAGGAAGTACAGATGGTCCCTGGA